CCGATATTCATGGTTAGAGAGGAAGAGAGGGCGGACAAGGGCACAATCATGTGTTACACAGAGGACACTGGAGATGTGTACATCTTCACTTCACCCTGACCCTTTATGCGTTGAGGCTATCATGTGCCCTGGTCTAATCTCTAGCTCAATTCTTTGGTGTTTACAATCTCGCCACCATAAACAAACGTCATTTTGAAGACCAAGTTGAAAGGCCACCAAAACCAGAAGAGATTGAGTTTGCCTTCCTCCCTTACCGGCTTCCTCCAATTTTCATCTAGCTCTATCTTCTATGGTTGCTACTGTATTAAGATTTTGCAAAGATATAACTCTATGTTCCCTCTTGAAGTTGTTAATCTACTATTTGTACAAGGACATTGCTTACTAGTTACTACTCTATGGATATATAGAATCTGAAAATGCGTTTTACCAGTCAAATGAGGAGCTCTCTTCACTTGCAATATCGCATTGGTCTTTGCAACATGCTAGCAATTACATTGCTCTGATCAAGATTCAGACTTTATTTTCGATATTTCCATATCATAATCCCAGCTCAAGAAAACCCTCCGCACTAACAGTAACTTACGCCCTTCTATTATGCGCATTTTAGCAAATCACACATTTGATTTAATAAGTGGAATAATGAGAATTCTGTTACTTTGGATGGTTTGTTAAATCAAGTTTTAGTTTTTTCTGCTTATTATATGTCTACCAATGTTAGGTCCGGTTAGTTTTCTGATATTTTGATGGTGTGTGAATTGCAGTTTGAAGATAGTATTTTTATATCTCTCTTATTGCTTGAAGTTATAGTCTCTTTTAATCTTATGCAATAGCAGATTTCATAGCCAATGTGATTCTGTGAACCTATCTCAGAGACCAGAAAATTCTACATAGGTATCAAGGTATGTACCGAACTCAAAGATGGAAACGAAGAGAACTCAATTGATCTCTTGAATCTCTCAACACATTGCATACATGAACGTGTACATTAGTACATCCATACATGCTTGTATATATAAACACATTCATCCATATTTGCTCTCATGATTCATTGTTTGCTTGCATCTAAAACTTGTTAACTTTGTCGTTTTTGTTTTTTTTACTAAAAAACTTGTGCTTTTTGATCTTTACTTAGTCCATTGTTTAAATTGTTTGCTTTGATTCCGTCTTTTGCTTATTTGATATTCTTTCTTTCATCATTACTTCATTGCTTCTTTCATTGTTTGCTTACATGTTTAACTTGTTTACTTCTTGAGTTCTTTCTTTACTTCTTCTTTCATTGCTTGCTTCTTTACTAAATGCTTTGGTATGTTCGATTCATCGTCTGAATGTTTTTTGTTTTGTCACATTTAGCATATGAGTTCGGATATAAAATGAGTTGCATCCAA